CTATAGACAATTTATACAAACATTTCAGGATGGTACAAATAATTGGCAATTTGATGGGTCAGGTTCAATACCAAAAAAGGTAGGTAAATCTGTAATTGGGACATTTTCAGAATATTTTTAATTGTTTTAAAATTGAGATTTCTGTATAATTTTATTCAATAGTGGTTGAGCATAAATACTTCCCAACTTTACACAAGTGGAAAACATCAGTTCTTATTAACCAAAATGAAAGAAAAGGAAACACACACACATATATGATTTACAAAACAATCTCAAGTGGAGATTCTTTCAAGCCATTATAGAGGTGGTTTTAATATATGATGTCACTGCCTGGACATTAACTAAAACCCTACAGTCTAAGCTTGATGAAACCTATACTCAGATACAGAGAGCTACACTTAACATGTCCTAGGAACAATATCCAACTAAATCACATGTCTATGGACCTATCCCTGATATTTCTACAATCTTACATGAACACAGAATGCACTTTGCAGGACACTGCTGGCGAGCAAAACAAGAACTAGCAAGTGATCTACTATTCTGAACACCTAGCCATGGAGCAAGACAAGTTGGTCACCCAGCAACCACATCTACATGCCTCCTTAATGGTCTTCTGACCTTAATGTAGGACCATTTCCAAGGTATGCTATATTTATAGGTAAAATTGCAATATGAGAGAGAGAGAGAGAGAGTATGTATGTATGTATCTAAATATAAATGTGGACACCGAGGTTAACCCCAATTGGTAACAGTGTTTCGTGCTTGAATGCAATCTCATGGCCTAAAGATTACGTTAAAGCATGAAAGATTGCTGCTGTTTAATGTTGACCTCAGCATGTACTCATATATATATATATATATATATATATAATAAAAATGATAGGTAATAATACAAGCAAATAAAATATGGAAGTTCCTCTGGTTACAGCGGACCTGATGAATGGTGTTTTGTGGTGGTGCCATCTCCCATAATATTATACATAATCACATGCCGATATATAAAGAAGACAGCATCGTTTCTTCACTGGCTGTACCCCATATTGGATTGTGCCACAGTCACTATCTCTCGTTTGTGTCATTTTGTTTGGGAATTTTTGCCCTTCATTATGAATCCCAAATGTAAGGCAGACTTGTGAGTGTTTATGTAGGCAAGTTCCAACCTATGTCGAAAATCAGGTTATTTTGCACCATAGGAATGGATCTCTGATGCAAGTTGAGGACCCTGTGTATGCAAAATTATAAGATTTAATGTATATCAAATATAACAGAATTTCTACTAATAAAATGGTCAATATAAGACTAAAGCAAAAATGCATGTCAGTACAACAATAAATCACCAGCCTAATGATGAAAAAATTATTTTACACAAGGAAGATTAACTTTATTAGCAAACCTCAAAGATACACACATTCAGCTTGTAGAACATGGTAAATTTTTTACTCTCTTGTCAATGCATATAACTCAGTGATTAATATTAAACACATAGCCCAAACATTACAATGAAACTTTGAAATCAAAATTCAGGTACTAACTTTGTCAAGTTTATTGAATTCCTCTCAGGAAAATAAAATATACCTTTTATACTCTGCACAAAAATGCAAATACTAAAAATTACTAAATGCAAATACAATGGAGAGTATTTAATAATTAAGTTCAGTCAATTATATATACAAAGTAGCAGATTTTGCAGAACTAGCCAAAAATATACAACTTCTACAAAGATAAAAATATCACTATTTGTTATAAAACAATTACAAATACAAATATGTATTGAATAAGTAAAATCTATATACATACAAACATAAATAACAGTGACATGTATTGTACCTATAAATACATTAGTACAGATTGAGTATCACTTATCTGAAATTCCAAGCTCTGAAAACCTCCAAAATTTTTTCAGGTACTGACATTACTTTCCACAAACGGAAAATTTCAGAAAACCCAGCCACATAGCAATCATCAAAACACCACTTTTATTCATGGATGTTATATGCTCAGTAAAGATATTATTCAAAATGTCGAAAAGTCCTGCATTTATATATTTTTTGTAAATAGTAATCATGTTTTTTGTACACGTTCAAAAAGTACAAAACATTATTTTTACGTGAAATCTTAATTTCACCACTTAAAAATCTGGCTGAACATTACATGACTAATGTCATTACCTGTATCTGTATGTACACAAAATTGATTAAATTTTATATAAAATTACCTTCAGGGTATATGTTGTTTATATAAAAAATACTTTCAGCTGTGTTATGAAATGTAAAGAAACATGTTTATGCTTGGGTTCCATTCCCAAGCTGCCCAATTTTATATATATATATATATATATATATATATATATATATATATATATATATATATATATTTTAAATAGTCTGTATTCCAAAATAAAAAAAAATCTGCAAACCAAACCACTTCTGGTCCCAAGAATTTCGAATAAAGGTTTCTCAATCTGGATATACAAAAAATATCAAGGAAATCAGTACCAAAAGTTTTTGATTTTAATTAAGAAGAAATTAAGAAAAAAACAACATGTAAATCATGGTGAAGTAATTTTCTTGAACACATCAAACACTAACCCAGTAACTTTATTTTCTCTTACAACTAACATTAAAACTGTACTTATTTTACATAGGAAATGTCAAATGGAGAGATCATTACCAATGCATATGAAGGCCTTTTTAAATCTAAAAATAACTGATATAGAAACAATGTCAGTATTTCTAGCTGAATATTTTCTGTTATAACCTCGAAACTCAAACAGCCTCTATTATAAATGTTCACAAAATTGAGCAAAATATTCTTGTAGATTTTGATTGTCATGTATTTTCTTGGATTGCTGGAAGCATATTTTTTATTTCATCCTGGTCAAGTAAGATATACATTTGAATATTTCAGTTTAGTTAATTCACCTTGATTAACTCTCCTAGTTTTTGTTCTCTCCAATGAAGCCAGGGATTGAACTCCCAACTCTTTGGGTCAAGTCACTTTTTGAGTAAATCAACCAACGCTTTTTTCCACTGGGCCATGTGTCTTTGGTACATGGAATTAGAACAATATCCCCACATGGCCTAAATAAAGGCTTCAGTTCAAAATTCCAGCAAATATCACCTGAAGAAGGCTGTAGCATGCAACAACAAAAATATTGTGAATATAACAGTAAAGATGAGGACAACAATCCGAACAATGTAAATAGTGTAAAAAATTCTGATATTTGGCCAAATTTTAAGAAGCAAACCAAGCCTATTACTTTTCAGCAACCCTCATGAATGGTAGTCATTGTTTTAATGAAAATATATTCTACATAAAAATCTAATAAAAATACAGGACATTTGAAAATTATTACTATAATAATATCAAGCTATATGCCAAACTGCTTACAAAACAAATCATTGTGTTTAATTCACAGCTATATAATTTCATTGTACATTCAAGATTTTAAAATCACATGGACAGCAGCTAATTGGCACATAAATATACATAAAAGTCAACGTTTCAAAAGCAAGGATAAAAAGTATAAAACTTTATAGCCACATTTTCTGTCCTATTTATTATCCTTAATTTTGGGGGCAAAATAGACCAAAAGATACAACACTTGAAAAGGAGGGATAAAATAGGTTTTAAAATTTCTGTTGCTGACATCATTTTGTGTGCTTGTTCTAGAGGAAGGCATGATCCCAATCCTTCCTGTCCCACAGTTATTCATCTTTATACTAGTAGAGAGATTTATCAAACATCAAGCTCTGACGACCAGTTTCAAAGCAAATCTCTTGAGTCAGCTAACCAAATAAGTCACTTGAACTTTTGATTTTTTGAATACTACTACTGCTAAGGAGAAAAAATTACAAGTCTCTTACTAAAAACACAAACATCAATTCTTGACCCTAAGAAAATGCTTTTAAAAATAAAAGTGTTTACACTTAAATGACAGTTAAACATTGTTTAAAAATTTAAATTTGATATCTAAAAATTAAAAACAATTCCTCAAATAAATTGGTCAGTCATTATTTCACATGGAAAAAAAAAATGAAAATATTTTTATTTTAATTTGTATTTCTTGTATAACTGAATAAGGATTTAAAAAAAAAAAAAAAAAAAAAAAAAAGAGAAATATGAAAGTATTCTTTAAAAGCCCAAGACAAGAAGTGGACTGAAATAAATACAAACCATACCACCCTCTCCCCACCCTTTTCTACACCCACATAAGAGAACGCCCAAGAATGTTAGAATTCAGTAGAAGTCTGAATTCACATTTCTCAAAGAAAAAAAAACAGTGGGGACATAATAAATCAATACAGGAAGTTGAGCAGGCAAAGACGAAGGCAAGGAGATTAAGAACAATATTTTTTATAAAAATATGAGTCAAAAAGCCAACTTTTCAATGAAAGTACACAAGTTGATAGAGTGTGCACATAGAAAACTATTCAATAATACAGAAAATGAAAATAGCAAACCGACAAATATATAAACACTAACATATCTAAATTTTTTTTTTTATTTTTGCTACAAATTCAACTTTATTGTACATAAATCCAATATTATTAACTAATTAGATAACTTCAATTAATTCAGTAGTATCCAAAGACTATGTCGCAATATTGTCCAAAGAAATTATGTAAGAACTAATCTTACACAAAAAGTTATTTCAAATAACTTTAGAGCAGAAAGTTAAAATGGTTAATCTAAATTTATAGTATCTGCCATTGATTCATTCATTTTCTATGGCTTATCAACCCTTTGCAGGTTATTTAAAGACTGAATTTTTTTTTTTTTTAGATTGTAAGAATTTTTGTGGGGGAAATAATAATGGTTTAGTGATACAAGTTTTACTAATTAACTCATATCTTTATGGGTAAGAGGTAGATTCATACATTTCCCAAGGATATTTGCATATAAATAAATATAATTAATCCAATTGGAATTGGAACTCTGCTCTCCAATTAACAATTTGGAGCCATTATCCATTACACCACCCACACATTCAAGCTTATAACACCTGGTATTCCAAAATGGTCACCCATCTAAGTACTAACTACATTCAATGTTGCTTAACTTCAATGATCACATGGGAAGCAGTGTTTCAACATGATGTAGCAGTAAGCCTATAGTATCTATGACACACCACTAAAATATAAACATAGCTAATCTGAGTCATCAAACATTTTAAGCATAAACCGAATATATGGAAAACCAGTGGGATTAAGAGAATATATGCATTTTATCAGAACAGGTTTCTTACTAAAACAAAATGCAAAATCAATGAGCAAATTAAAAAAAAAAATGGAATGATTTATAAGAAAAATAAAAAATAAAATTATGGGAAATTGTATCATTACTCAACATTGGGAAAAATTAAAACATTCCATTTCAGTAGAGTTATGTGATGAAAAAAAATTCCTTTATTTTTATAGCTATTCTATATTTTGTACAAAGATTAAAATTTGAAAGCATCTCTCTAATAATATATATATTAATTAATACAAAACAAAATAAGCTAAAACTTGAATGGGGGATTTACTCTATCACCTATAATAACTGGTATAAGGAATACATAGGAGAAACCTCAGGGAATTTAAATAAAAGATTTTGTCAGCACAAAAGAGATCCTTTACAAAACAATATACTCAATACCTTAGTTGCTTACCATAACAAGTCTGACCATAATTTTAATTTAAAAAATGCTCCTTTAATTAAAAGAGAAAACAATTTACTAAGGTGAAAGTGTACAAAAAGTGCTTTGATTGCTAAATCATCCACAGTAAGTTTGTCTCCCATTTCTTACACTTCACCTTTCTTGGTAGATCTTCTATTATTACAATGTGAGAAGCTTAATAATAAAAGTGATAAAAGCAAAACCATAAACAAAACAAAAGCATAAGGAAACTAAAGGAAATTGGCTAGTCTACATGCCCAGACACACAACCCTACCCAAATTTAATTTAAAAATTTTAGTTCCAACATCTTCGGTGTTTTCTATCAGTACATAATTATAACTGACGTTTGTGTTTTTATATCTTCCTCTCCCCCTCCTACACATTTATAATTCTATCAACAAAACATTATTTTAGTCTGATGAAGTCCTTTGGGAGAACGAAACATGTTACACAGAATATTTTCCACTTTGTCATTCATTTGTCTAACATTATTCTGATATATAGAAATATTTGCATGGATCTGGCATGCTTACACCATAATAGAAAAACAACAAAGCCTTGCCTCAAAACAAAGCCTGACCATAGATGAAGTTAATATTGTTTTGTGTAAAATTTCAGAATTTTGTAAAGTAATTCTTTAAAAAATTGAATGAGTGATGCTTACATTTATCAATTCAAACATTTTTGTTTTGTCCAAACAGTCAGTCTTAACTAACCAATAATCATAGTGTATTAAAGTGTTGGTTGATCTGTCAAGTTGGTGACATAGTAATTGTGAATTCAATCCCTAGGCCAAGTAGTATGTATTTGAACTCAGTGGAATAACTGAGCAGTGAACAGTACTAAATAAGAACTACATAAGATCAAGACATGGTCAGCAGGACAAGAACACTCTACCATTAATACAATACAGTATTTTCTTGAACTTTGCTGAATTTTCTAGGAACTCTATGTTCTATAATCTTATCTGGTATACAAGTGGGTGCCGGAAAGTTCTGTGGGTGCCAAAGAAAATGACCTCTGGCAATGAAACTTATATACTATTCCATATATTCACCTCTGCAGGTAAATACACCTGGCACATTTTTCAACATTTTCTTTTTTAAACATTAAGAAAAAATTGTTTGGTCATTTTATTAGACTTGAGGAAATTGGTTGAGCTGAGAACTTTTCAACAACCCACACAAATTACTTTAAAAAAAATTCATTTTTCATTCATGTCAAAGTTGAACTTATACAATTACAGTCAGAATAACAGTTAATGTGACATCTGTGATAAACTCTGTCACTAGAAATAAAAGTGACACCTGTGATAATTGCATTACTTAACTGAGGATAATACCTTCTATAAGTCCAATGAAAAATTACTTCCTACTGATTACCACCATAAAAAAACTTATGTTAAAAAAAAAAAAAAATTAAAAAAAAAAATATAGAAGCTTTCTACCTTTTATTTATTAAATAATGTGTGTTTGTCTGTCCATCTAAAAAATATATTTGCATTTTGGAATCTTTTTTCTATTTGTTGGTGAAAAATGACAAACATTTTGCCAAATTCATATTAAATCATAGTAAACAATATCTCAAATAAAACAAGGTTGAAATACTGAAGCAGCAAAATTATTTCAAATACAATGACCAATGATGGTGTTGGTTCCAATCTACAGTAGGAATGACTGCAAAAACACCCACCTCTCCAAATTTAGAGATAAAACACACAGATGCATGCTTGATTTTTTTTCCAAGCCAACAAGATAGGCTACTTCCCGATCTCAGATTAAGTTCTGTTCTTTCTTGTCTTGAAGCCAAAATGCTGCAATCACTTGTCTGTATCCCTTTTGTGTGTTAACACCATTGTTAGTTTGTGAACTTTTTACTTTATTGTTATTGTTTTGCTTTATATATATTGTTTTTTTTTTTTTCAATATCATTTTTTGCCCTGTTCTTCTCTTTTCTTTATCTTGTTATTGTTTATTGCAAACTTTCTGACAATTACATTTAATCATAGCCAATTAATCTACATAATCTATTAATGTCCACCATAAAATCTAATATTAATTATGAAAATAAAAATCAAGTATTAATTATAGGTTTCTACCTATAACCCATCCATGCAAGCCTTCCCAAAATGAGACAGTAGGCATTAATTTAATACATTATCAAGTATTATAATCTATAATGAGAACAAAACTTATAAGATTAGAAGAATTTTCCAAGGTATAACCAGTGATAGTTCATACTTTGATACTCAAAGGTTGAGCAACAAAGTTTAAGTAACAATGCCAAAACCAATGGAAAGAAAGTCATCTCTAGGGAGAAACACTTCAAATGTAAAAAGGATGAAGAGTGAGAAGTTCATTCAGACCCAAATTTTTGCCAGACATAATATCCAGGCCCACCAAAAGTGATGGCAAAATGAAGCATGCAGAAAGCAAAAGCAGATATGCAACACCCAAGTCCACCAGGAGTGGTAGAAAAATGAAATGTACAGATAGCAGGAGCAGCTGTGCAACACTTAAGCAAGAAAAATGCATAGGCAGAACCAGATTCTCATAGCTGCTGTTGCAACTGATATTTCTGAATTTGATGAATCATTTTCCCCTCAAAGAGAAATGTCATTCCCTTCCTGGCATCTTTCGGTTAGGCTGTAATTGTAATTTCAGTCATCCACTTTGCCAGAAAGCAAGAGAGGCCTAATTTTACTGTGGAAAACAAAGATTTCACAAGAACTCCTAAATGAATTCCCAGCAATCTTGAATTTGTCTGAGACCTGATTTTCTGGAGTACATCTAAGTCAAAAACAATTCCCTTGTCATTTCATCAATTAGAATCAAGAAAGATTGACTCTAAAATTGAGAATTGTTATGGATATTCAACAAAAAATTCCTACAAAAGAACAGGTTCACAGGTACAATCTACTAACAACCAGAAAGGTGGCTTTCATAATGCCAAGGGAAGAAGGTAACTTGGACATCATCTTGTAAGAATACAGTTACAATAAATTAAATGTATCACATTTACAATCACTCTTCCCTATACCCTGTTGTTTCCTTTGTGGAAGATAGCTTCATGATTAAGATGAGTCTTGCAAGTGAAAGAAGCAAAATGCTACCAAGTTTGCTTAATATTTTCAGGTCAGAGATCTTATCACTATTTTAAGCAACATCTATGGGCCAAGAGAAGCAATATACCTGTGCTCAGTTTACAAATGCTGAAAAAAACCAACAAGAAATTTTGATAATTCTACACCCAATTCATAAGGGACATGCTGAAAAGTATCTGGAACTCCTGGATGCTGTTGATAGTCTGACTAGTCTGAAAGTAATCCTCCGTACAACTATCTACTGCTTACCACAATGGGTGAAGAATGTTATCTACAGTTCAGAGAGCCTCATAAGGTTTGGGACCAGGAACTTGAAGAATTTTCAGGTAGAACAATTCAGCCTGACTTTGAGTAAAGTTGATAATTGGATTGCAGATCCAAATTTTGTTCCTTTCTTGTCTGCACCTATTCCTTCATGCATTCGTAACTGATATTTGTAAGTCAACCATTTGTCCATGCATTGAATATTGCTGCCACACTTAGTCTAGTGGTGCAGATTCTTAATAAAATACCAAGAAGAATCTGCAATATTATTGGTCCTAATTAGGCATCATGACAAGTCACTTTTGCACTGCTGTAACAGCTTCCCCGTGCCTTTTCTATAAATATTTTCATGGTAATTTTTCTGGTGAGCTTTCCTATTTGGTACCTTAGACTTTATGAATTTAAACATACTACCAGATTTGCAGCTAGGGCTTATCATTTTATAGTTGAAATGACTAGATGTAACTAAGTTCTATGCTAACAGTTTCTTCTCTCACACTTTTCACTTGTGAAGCTTTGCTTTGCAATCAACTTTGACATTCAAAGATTTCAATGCAATCATTATCTTCTGCTTTCTTAATTCCTGTTCTTTTATTTTCTCTCCTTAATGGTTTCTTTTTTTTTTATTTCCTTGCTTAGGGTGAAATGATTTAAAAAAAAAAAAAATAAAATAAAATAAAAAAAAAAAAATATGCATACCCCATTTTTTTAGTGCTTGTAGATATCTGATATATGACATTGGCCTCTACATCAGTGATATGAAAAGTTCAAGAAAACTTTGCTTTATCAAGAGAGAGCCTCTGATAGCTGAATTCCTTGCTTGGTCAAACAGAAATCAAACTAATTACTCACCTTCCAAGTACAAATGAATATTTTGAACTGGTGGATACTTGAGCTGAACTTGGAACTCATACAGTACTCATCAGATACACCAATGTAGTGACCAATAAAGAATTGCTTAACTTCATGTCTTCTTTTGTTTTTCATTTCCTTATGATATATTTGCAAATGTAAATATTATATTCCATGCTAATAGGAATATATACTTGAAAAGCAAGGTGGA